CAGCAGGATATTGGCTGCAGGTGGGGAGGGTGAAAAAAGCACTTGCTCACCCAGACAAGAAACTGAAATGTACGTATTTATGAAAGCCGCAGGTGGCTGCTGGGAACCAGCGTGGCAACAGCCATTGCATGTTGTCTCTCATGTAACATTTGCAGTTTACTCTGAGATGGGAAGGCAGTGAGGGAAAAACTGAGGGTACTCAGAATTCAATTAATGGGATAACAAGACTTTAATGTGGTCTGTGCATGGTTAGGACATGTGCTAAGTGGTGTACATTTCTTTTATGGGTATCATGAGGTTTATTCATAGTGTTGATTCAGCTGCTCAGTTACAAAGCAAGAAATTTGTTTATGTTGCAGTCAGACTTTTTATCATTGTTCCCTTGATTGTTGAGTAGAGGAACTGTTGGCAAATAAACTCACTCATGTGGAAAGTAGCAGATTTTGTCTTGATTTAAGTTCGGTGTATATGAAATGCTCGGGGATGGAATATTAATTTGCACCAACATTAAATGGGTTGTGTATCTTTGACTAAAAGCAAACTTCTGACATAATCTGACGTGAGGGATATTTGTTGTTAACAACAGCAGTATCATTCCAACCTATAGCTTTTGTGCAAATAATCCCTTTATTCAAGGGGGAAAGGCGAACCTTGGTGAAACATCATGAAGAACAGAGAGGGCAATTTCTGGGTTTTAAAAAAGATGGTTCTGAGAAGCGCTGCTGCACATTGGACTGGAACCACAGGCCCAGTTATTAGCAACTGTCAAATATTCGTTCTTTCTGCCCCCTCCTGGCTAATTTAAAACATTCAGCAGAATCTGTTCCTGCTGTACTGCCTGCTCTTGCTCTTCACCAGCACAGCCAGTAACACAACAGGAAAATGCTCCCAAAACAAGCCCCAGATAAGCAGGAATGCTCACTTCCAGAATGGGACAGGTCAGAGTAGGATTATGTGAGCTCCAGTGACTTGCCCATTCAGGAAAGGAGGATTTCCACACATTCGTGGTTGTTCTGGGAACAGTTCCAGTTGTGCCATGTGCCATTTTCATTAATATACTGGCAGTGCAGCCTATTGCCTAAAGTAATCTTGTATGATGTCATGTTATCATGCAACTTTTCACTCCAGCAGCCTTCCCCCACCTATGCCTTAATGGCCCATTACCTTCATTATAACCCCATGCAAAACCATTCTGGAAGGTAGGTCTGTGTGTGTGTGTGTGTGTGTGTGTGTGTGTGTGTGTGTGTGTGTGAGAGAGAGAGAGAGAGAGAGAGAGAGAGAGAGAGAGAGAGAGAGAGAGAACATATACTGCCCCCCACCACACACACTCAATAGAAAAATATGTTAATTTTTGTGCCATCAACAAAGCCATAACTATTCCCAAATTATTTGATTCCCTGATCTCCTCCAAATATCCCAGCAGAGGATGGATTGGATAGAATATATTTTACTGGTCATTTCTTTTGTATTTCTCAAAACCAATATCCAAACTAACCTGATCTTGACATGGTTATCCCAAGTATGTATAAAATCTGTTTTAGGGCCATCACATCTTGACAATGGCCAGAATTTTAAGTATAAATGGATTTCAAGCAAGAGGAAGCCCACAGGTAAAAATGATACTAGATTTTCTAAATATTTTCCTTTGGAATGGAATGGATGAACAGAACTTTTGATTTCATGGAGACTTGGGATTCTATATTTAGAATCATATAGTGCACATTTTTGTTTTGAACTTTATTTCCAAAATATTGCTCTGCCCCGGAAAATGTCTCTAGTGTGTGTATATGTGTGTGATTGGTTCCTAAATCTTCAAGGAATCCTACAGGCTATGCTCAGCACACCAAACCAGCATATCCACCCTGAAGGTGGAGCCAGAAACTTTACTGAAAGGGAAGGACTGAGGGAAAGTTTCCTGTTTAGATCCAACTCTTCTCATGATCAGAGATTTCTCCCTCAGCTTTGGCAGAAGGTTATGAAAAGTTCATATTGTTCTGTAATCTGTTGAGCTTTCAATAACAGAGCTGCACTTCAAAGGTTTTGAACCCAAAAGGAAGGAGGGAAGGGACTGGCTTATGTCAGGAAAGATCAGGGTATAATGAATAAGGATGGCCTCACCACGCGTCTGGGACAAGGAGATTTCTTTGCCTATCTGAGCCAGGATGACTTTCTCTCTTGCCCCCGCCATTCTCTCCAGCTGCCTGCTCCACTTTAAGTGAATGGAATTGCTATAGGTATGCAATTACCAGAATTGCTTTGTACATCACAAAGGTAAAATGATGGAATTCAATACCCCCAAGATCTAGTGATGGCCAGGATGGCTCTGTACTGCCTCTAGGATTACAGGGAGGAGACCTCTGGATAGCATTTGCTGGAGAAGGGAATGACCCCTTCCAGTGGGGAGGGCCTCTCAGACTGGAGGCCAGTGGCATTCTGTTCAGTGCCAATTTTTACTGAAGCCGATTGGACATTGGAGGGTGCCCTTCTGCTGATGCAAAGCCATATATGGCCTTCTCATCGTTACCTGGTATGTTACAAGCTTCTTCAAGTAAATTCCAGACACTTTCACAGCCTTTTTTTTCAAGGACACATTTCTCTCTCAGCTGCTGACACTTGGCGATCTCAGTCTGCAGTGTGGATGCAGCCATGGAATGTATCCCCAGCACTGCAAAACAGACAATATATTCTGCATGACACGTATTGGCTCTTTTGCGTTTCTTTAGCAAGCCAGCTAATGATTGATTCTTTATAGCAGAAGGTGTGAGGAATGGCAAGTACAATGAAATCAAAATAAGGATGCTGCTGGAACACAAGGCCTGCTATTCTAGCCCCACGGCATCAGTTCTCCCTTTTTCCCCATGCCAGGCAACGGGAACAATACTGCGACAACTCTTCTTGTGACCTTGCATGCATTTAAGCGTTATGCTCTGAAAACAAGAGGCTCTTCATTTGAATAAGGCTTCCTGTTTACATGTCTACATGAGAGTTACTCATATTAAAATTGGTGTTGGGTGGATTTGAAGGGGAAATATGTACAGACCGGAGAGGGCTGTCATTCATCAAATGGAGCATGGATGTCACCTCTGTCAGCCCCCCCCCAAAGGAAAACACTGTCTCAGAGGCAAAATTTGAGTGTGAAACCAGCAACTGCTCATCAACACTCTGTTGTTTCCAGTCATAACAGGAATACAAGAAGAATGTTCCAATCACACATCGCCTTTAGGAACAAGAAAGCAACATGACTCATGAAGCTTCAGCAGGCACAAGCATTTAAAGGATTAGCCGTGCTCTACTGAACGCCTCTGGACACCAACAGATCAAAAGAAAGAGAGTCACTGCTCAAGAGGCAGAGCAAAGCAGACCGAGTGAGGAGACTGGCTTTGCTTCCCAGCACTGGTCTATGTTTGCCATTGAGATGGACGTGCTGGTCTGGATGCAGATCCAACTTTCAATAGGCATGGAAGAGGGCTTGGGGCAAGTATGGAGTCACTGGTTTCCCTTCACACTTCATTTCTGCTATTGCTTTGCACCTTTTAGGAACTGTAGAAGTATAATTTCAAACTGGGGGCAATGTCTGGCTATCTGAATCAACCCAGCCAAGTCCCTCATAAACAGAATGGAAAGAAAGAACCGCTCCCCTCCCTGACATCTTCCTTGTGATCGCAGCAGATCAATTCTTTGATGTGCATATAGAACCAAATGTTGCTCCTCCTCCGCCTGCCCTCAGGAAGCATTTCTTATCAATTGAGACCTAGATCCAGCCAAAGTCTGGCATGCTTAACATCAATGGATTTTGGCAGGAATTAAGCAGGTGCTTAAATCTCCCTCTAAAATCAATGAGATTTTAAAACGCTTAACTGTAGCCGAAGCATAATTTATTGTTCCAGTACTAACTCTTTGAGAAGAAAGACTTTCCCTTTTTTTCAAGTTATTTTATCTTCTTAACAGTCCCATGTTTTCACCAACTCTTTTTCCTGGCCAGAGTAAATGCTCTACCACTCACAGAACTGTGAGGCTTCAACAAGAGTATTAGCTGCACCCAGAGCTTCTGCCCTTGTGGCAGCAGTACGATTGAAACTTTGCCACATTTTCTATTCCATTCCACTTATATTCTCCTGCACGAGCAAACTTTATATCACCTTTACTGGGTGGGTTACCTCCCCGTTCATATGGTTTCCATCTGGCATTTCTTTTGGCTGGAAGCGATGGGTATGTCACCCTGTCTGTGGTAAAAATTTATCCTCTGCACCCTGAAAATTAGTCAGGCATATGTTGAAAATATTTCTGATGTTACGTATCAGTTAGACTGTTGATATATGTCACAATATTAATCTGTTTCACCAAGGTGCCTTGGAACATGTAGGTTCTCTGCTTTCAGAACAGGAAAAGACAGACCGGAGAGAAGGATAGGTTCATGAGTAAGATTCAGACGTAGTATGAGCATGCATAGCATAGTTGCTGTCATGGAATGGTTGCATGCATCAGCTGCAATTCCCTGGTCAAAATTTAATTCTTTAAACTTTAAAACCTCTTCTTCCCCATTTGACTAGAACCAGACTTACCATAACTTAAAGCAGACCCACTGCGATAAGTGGGAGTACTTAGCCACAACAAACTGAAGACCCTTTGATTCAATGGGTTTACTTAGTATGACTAAATATGGATCAACCTGAAAATATGCAGTTATAAAACATGTGCTTGCTTTACATCAGGAGCAGTTAACCTGGGCCTTCAAGACATTGCTGGCCTGTAATGCCCATCATCCATGCCCATTGTTCATGCTGGCTGTGGCTGACTCCGCAGCCCACACCTCCTGATGACCTCTCCCAGCGGTTTCATGTAGATGTTAAAATAGCGAGGGGGACAAAATGGAGCCCTGCGGTACTCCATGGCAGAGTTGCCATGGCGCAGAGCCAAAGTCCCCCAGCACCACCTTCTGGAATCGGCCGGACAGGTAGGAGTGGTAGCCTATAAATACATGTTAATCAATCAATCAATCAATCTCTGTGTTTGGTGCAGGGAAACCTATGGGTACTAACAAAATAAACGCATCTGTTTGTGAAGCACAGAAGTGATTTGCAGGAAGGAAAGCCCACAAGACTAGCATTTAAGGGATTATATGCATAACAACAATATGCTTGCCACCTATTTCAGGTTTAAAATTGGATCATAGAATATGGAATATTAGTATCTTGTAATTAGAACAACAGTTCTAGTTGCTGTGGCCCAAAGATTAGCAGAACGTTTGGGTTTAAAGATTGTAACCCTGCACACATTTATCTGGGAATAAGTACCACTGAACTTAATGAGACTTACTTCTGAGTAGATATCTAAACTCCACTGAGAGATACAAAGGCTAAACAAACAAGGAAGAGGTAGTCGCAAAAAAGGGGGGGGGGAAAAACCCATCAAGGAAGGCGCAAGCCATTTTCTCAAATTTATAAGGCTTGTATAGGGTAGGAGAGAAGGAGATGGAGGAGAAAGAGGAGACACCTTAAAGGAAAGGCTTAGCACTGGAACCGCTAAAGGGTAAACACAAATGGAAACGGTGCAGATACGTGTCCGATGCATTCTGACACTGCCAAACGTCCTGGTCAGGCAACAGGCGCCACGACGGCAACCTTGCCCACGCTTGATCAGCCTCAGTAGAAACAGCAGGACTTGCCCGCTACTCCCCCGCGAGGCCAGCCGTGCGGACTCACCCGTGAGGAGCAGCACGGGCCTCATGCTGAAGGGCCGCTGCGGGCGCTGGCGCTGAGCCGCGCGCAGGAGCTGCGGGCACGCGGCGGCGGCGGCGGCGGCGCTCCGGGCTCGCTCTGCCGCGGCTCGCCGCCCGCGCTTTCAG